CCCAGGTCCTCTGTAAGAGCAGCCAGTGCTTTGAACTTCAGAGCCATCTTTCCAGCCCCATCCTGCTGCTTTTTAAAAAGTTTTATTACACTGTATAGTTAAGCTACACAACATGATGCCGTAAGACAGAGATATATAGTAAAATGGTTATTATGGTAAAACAAACTACCATGACCATCATCCCAGTTACCCACCTCACCACCCAGGAGTGGCCATAATGGATTCATTTAGTCAAAGCCTGAAATATGCTCTCCTGTGCAGTAGGAAATCAGTCTGCCTGTGTATTTGCTACTTTGTGTCCTTTCACCTAGATCCCCCAATATTCTCCCCAGAGTCTTGAACTGTATTCTTTTCTAAGTAACTAATATGCTGCCAATGGACAACTGTCTAGTTTTAAATAAAAACAAACCCACTATTACCAGAATGCACACACACACACACACAAAAGAATATTCATTAACTATATCCCTTCTCCAGTTCTGCATTTGATCCTATAAATACTCCACATGCTGCCTTCCAAGTGTGCCAGATCTATAGACCAGATTTTTACTGACTAGGGAAGGAGGCATGTTTCTTGCATTGAATTACAAGGAATATTAATTAGGCCTTCAGGCTAATTTTGGCATTAGCCATAGATGGTTACATTATAGCTAAGGAAGTATTTAGAGAAATACTTTTGTACATCAACGCACAGGGTCAAGACAGGAATCATGATGGGTCTGACTGATCCCCACTGAGCTCGGCTAAACTCAGGGTTATCTCAGCTCTGAACCACATCCAGTTTAACGAAAGTCACACCTGCTGTAAAACAGCTTACAGCAAGCACCTAGACAGCATGCCAGCAGTTTTATATACAAACTGTCTATTTTCCCTTTAAATTTTCCATAAGCCAAACATAAACTCACCCTCTAGGAGTGACAAAGCAAAGAGCCTACTCTCTTTACAAATCTGGCTAAAAATTCTATCTTTTCCTTAACAAGAAATGTCATCCTATAGGGTAACACATTTCCAAAACAACTTGAAACTAGTTCAGAAAATAACCACAACAGAAAGTACTTACTCTGTTCACAACAAAGTTCAATCTTCTTATAGGCTCCCAAGTTCTCCCTAGTTAATGCCAACAGACAGCAGATAAAGACTCATTCAGCCCTGACACACTGTTGACATACCAATGTAAATAACTCTAACAATGATACCCCAGGAAATGACTGGGCACACCATTCACGATGCTCACTAAACAAGTGTTGGGCATCAGTGCTCACCAAAGAAGCAGAGTTCAATGTCAACAATGGACAGGGGTGACTTCTTAAAACATTCTTTCTGCACTGAACCTTCTCAGTTTGATAATGGAAATATTTAAAAGAAAAAAAGAAAAGTTTTTCATTTATCCCCAGAGAATCAGACTCTCAGGGTAGAAGGGCATTTTAAGCATCAAATGCCAATGGTACAGCAACTTGCAAACCAATGAGGGAGGCGTTCGCTACAGGTGACTATTGAACATTTGCAATGTGGTAGTACTAATTGAGATGTACGTTAAGTGTGAAACATGCCAGGACTTGCAGTTTTTTTATGGAACCTTGGAAAATATCACATTAACTTTAATTGATTACATGTTCAAATGATATTCACAGAATTAAAGATAGAATTAAAATTACTTATACCTGCCAGGCGTGGTGGCACGCACCTTTAGTCCCAGCACTCTGGGGGCAGAGGCAGGCAGATCTCTGTGAGTTCAAGGCCAGCCTGGTCTACTTAGTGAGTTCAGTCAGCTGGGGCTACAGGGAGACCCTGCTTCAAAAAGACCGAAAAAAAAAAAAAAAAGTGACATCTATTTACTTTTACTTGGTGAATGTGACTTACTAAAAAATTTTTTTCAGTTATTTTGTATTTGTTTCAAGTGGTGCTGCTACAGCCTTGATTCTGATAGCAAACCAGAACTATCATTCAGTCTTTTTCAATTTCAGGTCTCATTTAAAAGCTAAAATTAAAAAAAAACAAACAGAAATTTCCTTTCTCAATTTAATTGTGATAACTTAATAGGAAAATGAACTTAAAACAATCATAAAATAATCATCACTATATCTTCACACTATTTAAAAGAAAGATTGCTTCAAAGGGGCAAAAATAGCACAGAATAAAAAAACCCCACGAACCTTAAGAAAATGAGATTGAAAATATATTAACCAAGTTTTTCTAACAAAGTAGGTCTAAAGTCTGATTATAAGATTCAGTTTGAAAGTGAAATGGCCATTTCTTTCATTTTTAGCACCTGGGGCTTGGTGGCATGGGGGAAGTGGATTCTGTCTCTGTATTACTCAAGCACCTTCTAACAGAAACAAATGAATCTTTAACACCATGAAAAGGGAAACAGTAGCACACAATGGCACCGTTTGTAATCCTGCACTGGGGCACTGAGGCAGGAGAATCTTAAATTCAATGCCAGCTTAAACCATAATCATTCTTAAAAAAGCCAAGTGTGGAGACACAGTCAGTAAAGTGCTTGCTATGCACAAGGACCTTAGTTACAATCCCCAGCAACATACATCTACAACCGGTATTTTGGGAAGAGGAAAGATGGGTGGATCCCTGGAGCAGGTTGGTCAGCCAGTCCAGTCAAATCAGTGAGCTCCAGGTTCAGTAACAGCCCTGTCTCAAAATATAAAATGGGAAGGGACTGAGGAAGTCATCCAACATTCAACTCTGGTCTCCACGTGCTCAGGCCACACACACACACACACACACACACACACACACACACACTGCATACACACAAAACCAAAATGGAGAGGATGTAGCTCAGAGGTAGAGCACTGGCTTTACTTGTGCAAGGTTAGGGTTTGACTCCTAGCAAAGAAGGGAAGAGGGAAAAAAGGGAAGTAAATAAATCTATCTTAATTCTCTTTCCCGAAACGAAAAGCTATTAGTACTGCTCAAGAGCAAAATAAATACTGTCCTAGGTTCTCTAGGACTGATTAGGCTAACTGTAGTCCACAGACATGAAAATTTTTAAAAAGTGTAAGTTTCCACAATGTTAAGTGTATTTTACTTTCCACAGTGCTGGGTATGGAATCCAAGCCTTATACATGCTAAGCAAATTCACTACCACTGAGCTACACAACCTGCCCTTAAGAAACTTACTTTAAAAGTGAGAAATCAGGGGCTACAGAGATGACTCAGGGGTTAAAAGCACTGGCTGCTCTTTCAGAGTACCTGGGTTCAGTTCTCAGCACCCCAATGGTGGCTAACACTCCTTAATTCCAGTTCCAGGGGATCTAATGCCCTCTTCTGGCCTCCACAGGCATTGCACACACAGGTGCATTTACATGCAGGCAAAACATTCATACATGATATAAAAATTAAAAAAATCTTTTTTGGTCTTTTTGAGACTGGGTCTCCCTGTAGCCCCAGCTGTCCTGGAACTCACTATGTAGACCAGGCTGGCCTTGAACTCACAGAGATCTGCCTGCCTCTGCCTCCCCGAGTGCTGGGATTAAAGGTGTGTGCCACCACGCCCAGCAAAAATAAAAATTTTAAAATGAGAAATTCAAGGATACATTTGATAAGTGAATTATGTCATTGCTCTACCATAAAATAATATTCTGTTTGATTTGATTGTTAAAATATTGCATTTGTCAGGGGTGGGCCTAGTATATTTTGGAGTCTGTCAAAAATGTTTTGGTGAGGGGAAGTCCTCTTTTTTCTTTCCCTTTTCTTTTTTGCTTTGGTCTTTTTGAGCCTGGGTCTCCCCAGCTGGCCTCAATCTTACAGAGATCCACCTGCCTCTGCCTCTTGAAAACTGGGATTAAAGGTTGGTGCCACCTCACCCAGTTTTTTTTACTACTATGTATCCCAAGCCTTGAAGTCACTAGGCATCTCAGACTGACCTCAAACTTGTGGAGTCTCAACCTTTCCAAATGCTAGGATAATAGGCTTTTGCCAACATGCCTGGCTAGAATTTTTTTTCAGTGAGGAAAGGGTTTAAAAGAAGAACTTAATGAAATTAAGATCAGTGAGTGAATCCCCAGGATTTCCACAACAGCTGGTAATTTCTATAGTGTCCTAAGAGTGCAACAAAGGCCATTTTCAGGTATAAATTCTTTATCCCTTTGAGTTACATCAGCTGAGGATAATCTTCAGACTACTTGGCAGGTGACACATTCCTGAGAAACCTTTTCCTTGTGCATTAAATGCCAAGCTCAATTATCCTGCCAACAGAGTAAGCGGAAAGGATTGTAAATATTTTAAACTAGGGAGTTGATTGGCCGCAGCTTCCTGCTTTGATGGAAAGGGCAAAGCTTTCTGAGTATGATCCCCGAACACTGAAATCACTCTCAAAGAATCGGATCTTCTAACACTGCCCCAAAGACTGCCAAAATCTCCATTAGGGCATCCTATTTTTAGTCGTTGCAATCGATTTTTTTCAATTGCATGCTACAGTACAATGTGCTTAACTAAGTTTACACAGGGTAATAAAGAAGCATCCTAAGGCTTTAATCCTCTTAAACATAGGAAGGAATTTTAAGCTTTCAAATCTTCATTTTTTCAGTCTTACATTTAAGTCTTCCAAGCATGCAAACTAAAAATGAAAAGGTGAATCTTGGCCCAAAGGGAGGATGGGAAGGGAGACCCTAGGAGGTCCCTGACAGCCAAAGAGGTGGTAGTGTCGGGGAAACCACGTAGGGGGCAAATAAAAGCCATTCGCAGAGAAGAGCAGGCGGTGGGCCACCGGGCAGAACACAGAAGCCGCAGGATCCCCGGGGAGCCGAGCGCACAACGACTCGGGTCGCTCGTCTCCTAAGGATGGAGAAATTGGCGCGAGGAGCAAGAACAGGAAGCCCACAGTGCAGAAAGGGGGGAAAGAAGGAGACCCGAGGGGGACGCCGGCGAGGGGACCCGGCTGCAACTCCCGGAGCACAGAGGCGGCACCGGGGGAGGAGCGGGCGGCTTCCGACAGGCGGTCCCGGGGGCTCCCCTGTTTACAGCCTTGCTGCTCTCCTCACCTGGGAGTCCGAGGCGCAGGGAGGGCTACCGCAGGACACCGGCTCCGTCTCCAGCCCCGCTGACTGACATGGCGGCCGACGAGCTGTCACTGAGCCTTGCTCGCGGCTCCCGCGGCTCTGGAGGATTAGACACCTCCAGCCTTCCAGCCCCGCCTCCCTCCGTGCGCCCCTCCCCGCCCGCGGCCTGGAGGCCCTAGAACCAGGAGCATAGAGTGCGAGCGGATAGAGAGGAAGTGCCGAGGGCCGAGGACCATAGAGCTCTACTCCCGACACACCACTCTCCTCACGTCACTAGGGGGCGCGAGTTGCATCGGAAGCGGAAGTGACGAAGGAAAGCGCTCAGGGTCAGGCGTTCCCAGGCGCAGTCGGTAGAGTTTACTTCCGCCCGGTCTGGTCCAGCGGTGAGGAGTTGCACGTGCGATGCTGTGTACTTTGTTCCCCGTCTAAGCTACCGTCTCTTGTGGACGCTAGGGGCAAGGATGTGGGGCCCAGCGTTGGGGCTTCCTCCGCGGCTGACGCTGTCAGTGTTGGGCCCTGGTCGCTGTTGCATTCTGGGGTCCGGGGCCTCGATGCGGAAGGACTTGCGAGGGAGGAACCGCCGCGGCTTCTCTGACTTCCACCCACAGCCGTTGTCCGATCTGGATTGCGAGGAGTCACCCTCGTGGGTTAGCAAGAGTCGATCGGAACCTACGCGTCACGTAACCAGCAAGAAACTGGCTAAGGCCCTGGTTGGAACTCTACTGGGACACTACAGGCCGTCCCGTCAACTTTTACTGGAGTGTAATCCAGGTGAGTTGGGCAGAAAGTTTGCTCTTAGCTTTACGTCCCTAAAATAGTTGTAAGCCCATAAAAATAAATCTTGTTCTTTTTGTACGTTTCTAATAGGCCTCAGCAGAATGCTGAAAATACAAGACCTAAAGACTTGTGAAGTATATTTGAAATTCCACTTGATGGTGCGCGCATGCGCTTGTCGAAGCCTCTTCCTGAATGTGGGTTCTGCTCTTTGAACTGAGGTTGTCAGACTTGGCAATAAACTCCTTTAACCCCTGAGCCGTCTCACCGGCTCTGATCCTTTGGGGTCATTTTTGTTTTTAGACTAGGTCTCACTACTTCGCACAAGCTGACCTTGAACTCACAGAGATCCCCCTGCCTCTGTTTCAGAGTGCTGGGATTAAAGGCGTGCACCACCAGCTCATAAATCTTTTTTCTTTCGAGCACCATTTCTTGTAAGAAGTCAGTTCTGTTTGGACTTGACATTATTTTGGTAGCTAAAGCATTCAGGTAGTCCGTGAGTGAGTAGTAGGCCAACTTACAATCTTGTCTTTTTTTTTTTCTTCTAAGAAGAGTGTATATACCCACTTTGAGTGTGTATACCTTACTTCTAAGAAGTAAGAGTGAATAATACCCACTTTGAAGGTGTCGTTAGATAACTTGCATAGAAATCTGATATTGAAAGAAATTATGTTTATTTTGCAAATAAAGTTTTCTGTTAATATCCTAGGTCCTGGAATCCTGACTGAGGCATTACTTAAAGCTGGTGCCAAAGTGGTTGCCCTTGAGAGTGGCAAAACATTTATTCCACATTTGGAGGTACATTTTTAGTTTCTAAGATAATTTGTTATTCCATCATCAGTTAACACTGAGTGGTTTAAAGAAGTTAAATGAAGCACAATTGATTTTTATAGACTATCTTAGGGACCATGTCTTCAATGTCTTGTTTAGGAACCTAGTCTTAAATGTCTTGTTAGCTCTAAAGAAGAGGGCACATTGAATATTCAGTGCTTGTGAAGTAACTGAAAGTTTCAAAGTTAAGAGATTTGTTTTCGGGGCTGGAGAGATGGCCCAGCAGTTAAGAGCACTGTCTGTTCTTGCAGAAGACCCAGGTTCAAATCCCTGCACCCACATGGCAGCTAACAACTGTCCATAACTCCCAGTTCCGGGGGATCTGACGATCTTTTCTGTCCTCCTCGGGCATTTTATGACACAGGTGCACTTATATACGTGCACGCAATATATGCATACATGTAAAATATAAACTTAATAAATAAAAGAGATTTGTTTTTTAGTTGTTGTTGGGGCCTGAAAATGCTGCCTCAGAGTATGATGTAATGGCATGCTGAGTACTTTGAAATAACCTCAGAAGTCTCTCTGCCCTCCTTTCTCATGTCCCTCATTCTCCTTCCAAATTGAGCCATAGAAACCAGTATTCCTATTCCCAAAGAGTAGTCATATAAATTAGGATGGCTTTAACCCCAAGCAAACCACAAAACATTATAACCTTTCTGTATGAAAAAATGCCCATAAAGATACTCTCTGACCTACCTTGTCTCATACTAGATCATGAGCCCTGGGCCCAGAAGGAAAGAATGGCACAGACACAGGAGGGCAAGAATCTGAACAAACAGGCTTTGGGTCTGTTCCCGTCTTCAGACTATTATTACACACATAGTGCTACCAGTCACAGAAGCTTGGTTGATAAATGCTTGTGTAACATGCATGAAGTTTTGGGTTCAAACTCCAAACCTACATGAACCAGGCATGGTTCAAGGTCATCCTCGGCTACATAGATTTGAAGTCAGCCTGGGCAACATAAGACCCTTTTTCAAAAAACAAAAAATGTCAAGAAAAAAATACATAAAATCATTAAGGACTAGGGATGTAGCTCTGCGATAGGGCCCTTCCCTAGCATGTTTGAGACCTATGCCCTGATGCTTAATACCACACAAATTGTTAATTTAAAATGTAATTTATAAACAACTTGAAAACTAAAAGCAAGATAGTATTTGGACTAGAGATGGGGGTCAGTGGTAGACATTTGCTCAGTGTGGTGGATTCACTGCTAGCAAAATTAAAAAGTACTTTGCTTTGAATAAAAACCAATGTATGGGAGCTGGAGAGATGGCTCAGGATTAAGAGCACTGACTGCTCTTGCAGAGGACCCAGGTTTGATTCCCAGCACCCACATGACAGTTACAAACCATCCTTAACTCCAGTTCCAGGGGAATCCAAAGCCCTCTTTGGACCTCCGCAACATTGCATGACATGAGTGCACTCACATGCGTGCAGGCAATAACACTTGTACACATAAAAATAATAATTTTTTTTAAAAAAACCCATGTATGAAGTTGATATTTTACATATCCCCCAAAACAGACAAAACTGTATTATCCTGAAACACTACAGTTGTTTTTCTATAAGATATTTTAAAGATAACAAGTTTAGTTTTCTTAAAATATTTTATTTATTATTTTTATTTTATGTGTATTAGTGTTATGCCTGCATGTAGGTAGGTGCACCCTGTTGTATAATGCCCACGGAGGAGAGAAGAGGCTGTCGTAGCCCCTGGAACTGGAGTTACAGACAGTTGTTAGCTGCCATGTGGGTGCTGGGTTTCGAACATGGGTCTTATTTTTATAAGATGCTTGAATAAAAAAAAGAAATGGGCTACACAATATTTAGCACACAATAATTCTTACAGGAATGTTGGTTAAAAACGTCTCTGAAGCTGTAATTGTAAACATCTTTGACTTCATTGCTTCTTGTTACCACTAGCACTAACTTGAACTTAGTCCTCTGACTCTGAGCTAGGAATAGATCCCAAGGAGCTCAGTCAGCCCTTATTACATGTTCTTTCACCTTTATTAACCATTCATATAATAAAGTGAAAAATGTTTCATTTGTTGCTTTATGTTTTATTTAATTTTTTTTTTTGAGGCAGGGTCTTATGTAACCCTAGTTGGCCTCAGCCTCACTATACAGCTGAGGTTGACTTTGAACTCCTAATCCTCCTGCCTCTGCTTCCCAAGGTATTGGACCTGTTCCTGTGGACTTCCCAAGTAGTGAGATTACAGGTGTGCACAGTCATGCTCAGCTGGACTTGAAGCCACCATCCTCCTGTCCCAGCCTCCCTAGTCCTGGTGTAGGCATGTGCCATCAGTCCTGCCTGTAGATAATTTTTCTTCCAACCTAAAGACTTTAAAGAATGACACTTTACTCTTTTTCTAATGCATCTCTTATTCCCCCCATAAAAGTCCTGAAACTCCATGGTGGTAATATTTTAGGCGAGCAGCTTTATTGTATTTGGGTGATAGATGTGATAATAAACTATGATACATTCATTGGTGAGCTTGGGGATGTGGCTCAGTTTGTAGAGCACTTACATATCATGCAGGAATCTCTAGGTTCAGTCTCCAGCACTGCATATAGTTGAGCCTGGTGGCCAGACATGCCTTTAAAACTAAGCAGTTGGGTTCCCAATTGGGATAATTGGGGCCTGCTGAGAACAGGACTTCTAAAAGGCAAATATGTCTGGAAGTTTGTGGTGCAAGGCCACTTTTGCTGGTATAAGCGGGGATTCCAGAACCAAAGAGAGCATACAGCTCTTTTAAAATCGAAGGTGTTTATGCCCAAGATGAAACTGAGTTCTTCTTAGACAAGAGATGCGCTTTTGTGTATAAAGCAAAAAACAACACTGACTCCTGGTGGCAAACCAAACAAAACCAGAGTAATTTGGGAAAAGGTAACCTGGCCCATGGAAACAGTGGCATGGTCCATGCCAAATTCCAAAGTAACCTTCCCGCAAAGGCCATTGGACAGAGAATCTGTATGATGTTGTAGCCCTCACAGATTTAAACTAATGGAAAGAAAATGAAAGTGAATTTGTGGGGAAAAAAAAAAAACCTCAGCAGTTGGGTTTGGACAGGATTTGGAGTTCTAGGCCAGCCTTGGCTGCATGCTCAAGGGCTATTTTCCAAAAAAAAAAAATGAAAACAGGCTGGGGGCATGGTGGTACATGCCTTTAATTCCAGCACCTGGGAGGCAGAGGCAGGTGGCTTTCTGTGCCTTTGAGGTCAACCTGGTCTACATAGAGAATTCCTGTTCAACCAGGGCTATATAGGGAGACCTCATCTAAAAAACAAAACAAAAAGGATATTAGTATCTGCTTATACAAGCTCATGCTGTGGTTGAATGTGATAGACTTATAATGCCTGACTTGATGGCAAGTGAGGTTTATAATGTGACCTCATAACTACTATTGAATTATTTTGAGTTAAGTAGTAAATGACAGGTGCTAAATTTAGTCAAAGGATTATATCAGCACTCTTGCTAGAGTTTCTACACCCCTATACTCCTCTGACTGAGCATCTTCCCTCCTTTCTTACTGGCTTTTTTATTGTCATTAGACTCTGGAGTCTTGCCATCCTCAGGCCTACTATTCTGTTTTTACCCTAGGAATCACCTCTTCTGGCTTTAATTGTCTTCAACCATTCAAATTTTCTTGCATTTATACCTCCAATAGCCCAGAGTAGCCTGTAACTCAAGGATGACCTTGAACTTCTGATGCTCCTTCCTCTACCACCCCAAGTGCTAGTATTGCAAGTATGAAGCACCATACCTGGTTTATGAAGTGCTGTGGATCAAACCCAGGGTTTGGGCCAGCGCTCTACCAACTTTTTCAAATGTACAACTTCTTACCTGTCATCAACATTTCTATCTCAGTGTTAACATGACCAAATCTATGATTCCTACGCTGTCTTTTCCTTTTCTCTAGCTTTTTTTTAAATGGACCCCTAGAAGTGATCATTAAAATTTACTATGTTTAGGGACAGGAGAAACAGCTCAGCAGTTAAGAGTCCTTACTGCTCTTCCAGAGGACCCTGGTTCCATTTCTAACAGCCACCTCATTGTATGAGCATATTGTCTGCATGTATGAAAGTGCACCTGTGTTGTGCAGTGCCTACAGAGGTCAGAAGAAGGCATTGGATCTCTTGGAACTGGAGGTACCGATAGTTACGAGCTGCCCTGTGGGTGCTGGGAATCGAACCCAGGTCCCCTGTAAGAGTACTCAGTGCCCTTAATTGCTGAGTCATCTCTCCAGCCCAAATTTTGTAAAATCTTTTTTTTTGTTTTTGTTTTTGTTTTTGTTTTGAAGCAGGGTCTCCTTGTAGCCCCAGCTGTCCTGGAACTCACTATGTAGACCAGGCTGGCCTCAATCTCAGAGATCCGCCTGCCTCTGCCTCCCGAGTGCTGGGACTACAGGTGTGCACCGCCACGCCTGGCTATGTAAAATCATTTTAAGGCTTAATAGCAGTAGACTTTTCTTTACACAAAAACTTCATTGGGTACATCAAAAATATATTGTCCTGCTGGGTGTGGTGGCGCAAGCCTTTAATCCCAGCGCTAGGAGGCAGAAGCAGATGGATCTCTGAGATTGAGGCCAGCCTAGTCTACATAGTGAGTTCCAGGACAGCTGGAACTAGGGAGACCCTGTGGGGTGAGGGAGGAATATATAT